CTACACACGTCTCCATCAGCACCCATTGGCGCCAGTTATAGCGCCTGCTAGCGCTGGTTGGCGCCTACCGGCATCTATTAGCGTCTACTGGCGCCTCGACCTCGTAGTGATGGCCAAGGACGGCAACAGCTCATGCTTCGAAATACTCTCGCGCATAAGATAATGCGGGATGACGGTTAATAAAAACATGTGAGAGAACGATTCAAACATAGTTTCCTGCTATTTCTGCAAAATTTTCTGACTGGAGGAGAACGATTTAAAACATAGTTTTCCAGCCCGCGGCCGGTTTTTTCTAATCGTCATCCCGGGCGCCGCCGCGTGAACACGACCCCCGGTCATTTATTCATCGTCATCCTCCATTACCCGCCCCCATCCCCCTGGCTCACGTCACGATCCGCGCCTGCACCGTGTGGGCACTGGCCTTCCCTGCAGGCGCTCCCGAGGGAGCGCCTGCGCGGATCGTGCGTTGACGGGCCCCCCTTCCCCGCTCAGCGCCCCGTGCGTGGGGGGACGTCCGAGCCCTGCCCCCACCAACCAGCACTCTAACCAGCGTCGAACGTATCCCTATCCCTAAGGCGGGCGAGCAAAAAGCGAGGACGATCTTAGCGATAGGCCCTCAGAAGCCGAGGGGATCCTCAAGATCGGCATCGAGGTGAGGCGATGTCAAACAGAGGGATAGGGACATGCTTCAAACTGGCAGGCTCAGCGCCCCCTGCGTGGGGACATCCGAGCCCTACCCCCACCTTCTCCTGAATCGATGAAGGCGGGGGCAGGGTTGGGCGCTCGCCGCGTGTTCGGCGCATTCCGAGCCCCACCCCCGCGGCCCATCGTGCTGCCTGAGTCGTGGATCGGCGAGGGCAGGGTTCGGACCTCGCCGCCAGCCCCCCCCCCCCCTGGTCACGCCCGCTGCCCAGACCCCCGACGTCATGATTGTTTCAGGGCGTCGAGGTCCAGAGGTGAAGGAGCCCTGGGACACACAAATGAATACACACAAATAACAGAATTGCCCATATCTTCCAATATGTTCTGGGTGTTTGTCTTCCCCCCCGCTTCCCATACTTTACAACATCTACTGGGGAATCGACGATTCATTGTGTCTGTGAATTTGTTCCCCTCCTGAAGAGGTCTCGGCCCATTCCCCGGGGGCCGGTTTTCATCCCGCCCCGGCCACGCCAAAAACAGTCCAGCTGCTGCAAAAAGGAAGGCCAAATAAGATAAGAGAGCCCTTCTTGGCACAGAAGAAGCCTTGGAGCTCGTGCTAGAATAATAACTTCGGAATGACCGAAGGAACTACAGAAGGACCGAAGCGGTCCTTACTTTCGGGGAGACGTAAAATTCGGGCTCGGGGGACGCGGGTTGGCCTGACGTGGCCAGCACGAACGTGACAAGACACCATCTGAAATGTGACGCGAGCTCCCGCTCGAAAACATCCCACGACTCAACTGGACCGTCAACACCCAGGACACGCTCGTCAAAAAGCGTCGGCAGACCGGAGTTCTGGCGTACTCGAGTCTCACGTTTCCCCGACATGAGGAGGAGGAGGAGGAGGAGGAGGAGGAGGAGGAGGATACGGAGGAAGAGGAGGATACGGAGGAGGAGGAGGATACGGAGGATGATGATGATGATGATGATGATGATGATGATGATGATGATGATGATGATGATGATGATGATGATGATGATGATGATGATGATGATGATGATGATGATGATGATGATGATGATGATGATGATGATGATGATGATGATGATGATGATGATGATGATGATGCTGATGATGCTGATGGAGATGATGATGAGGAGGAGGAGGGAGGAGGAGGAGGAGTAGGAGGAGGAGGAGGAGGGATGAGGGATGAGGGATGAGGGAGGAGGGTCAGCGTCTTGACTGCATCGCCAGGGAGCACAACAAAAAAGCGCTCGCCTGTCGCCCGTGCGCACGGCCTCGCCGGACGCCCCCCGCAGCGTCGGCCCCGAGGGCGCCGGGGGCGGCCTCACGAGCGGCGACCGCTCCTCCTCCTCCCCCTCCCCCTCCTCCTCCTCCTCCTCCTCCCCCTCCTCCTCCTCCCCCTCCTCCTCCTCCTGCTCCTCCTCGTCCTCCCCCTCCTCCTCCTCCCCCTCCTCCTCCTCGCCTCCTCCTCCTCCTCCTCCTCCTCCTCGTCCTCCTCCTTCCCCTCCTCCTCCTCCTCCTCCTCCTCCTCCTCCTCCTCCTCCTCCTCCTCCTCCTCCTCTCTGGATGCTGGTCCAGACATCCCCGCCCTCGCGGCATGGCCAAACACGACGCGAAAGTCGTCGCTGCTTTTTCGGGGGTCTGGGATCCGAGGCTCCGCAGACATTGGAGCGGCCTCCTGGGAGCCGGTTTCGGCCACCGGGGGCCCTCCACGGGCCCCGGGACCGTCAGAGAACGACTCGGGACGAAAACAGCAACCCTATAGGGAGGTGGTCCAGACCACGAGGGGTCACCTCCGGGCTGGGCGCTGCAAACATCTTCGCACCAAGCGCGTTCGCCCGCCCTCGGGCTCCGGGGCCCTCACGGACCAGGCCTGCCCGCACAGTGCCGCGGAGAGATGGGGCCGAGGGCGCTCGTCGCGACGTGCTGCGATGCCATTGCGTTTTTGCCACGACAGATCTGAAGGTACCCACATCCCCGCCCTCGCGATCGGGGCTCTGGGGCGCAATCCCGCGGATGCGCGGTCGCACAGATGCGTCCCGCGCGGGGCATCCGCGAGAAAGATCGCCCCGCAGCCGCGGGGTCGCGGCCCCGGGTTTGGACACCCGAAATGGGTACCAAAAGAATGGGTACAATGCCCAACAACAAATGTTGTCCCGAACCAACAGCGGCCGCTGTTGGGTAGGCGGCCTTCTGTCTCAAATGGACACAGGCCGCGGCGGCACGGACAGCGAGTCCTGTTCAAAATGAACAGGAACTGATGTTGGGCATTGTACCCATTCTTTCCGTGCCCATCTCGTTCGTGCAGACCGGGGTGCAGGGGCCCAGCCCGCGAGGCCGTGGACACGGATGTGGCTTCCACCCACCGCGGCCGGCAGGCGCCCGGCCCCAGGCCCTGGACGACCACGGCGCGCAGCAGGCCGCGCCGCAGGGAGGCGGCGCCCACCAGCGGGCGAGATGCCAGGAGGAGAAGGAGCGGCACAAACATCAGACTGAGGGGCGTCCCGAGCGGTCCTGCACCATCGCTCTGGGTGCGCGCATCTCGACTGCCACGCTATTGCCATCCTGTCGAGCCCCCCAAAATCAGCCGCGGCGCTCTCGCCTCGGCGCCGGCTGGATTTCACTCGACAGCAAGTGCTCACGCTCTAGCGTTTCCGGAGTCACCCAAACCAGCCCCTCTTACAGAAGCAACGCTCCCGCTGGATACTTCCTCGCTTTTCACTCAGGGCCAACGCCCTTGTTGTTCGCCGCCGAAAACCAGCCCTCCAACAACACCAGCAATCCCGCTCGATATCTCCTCGTCTTTTACTCAGGAGCGGCCTTCCCGCCTTCGGTCCGCCAACCGGCCCCCCTACAATAACAACGCTCCCGCTGGATACCTCCTCTTGTTTTGCTCCTGACTTGCGCTCTTGCTCGTGCCGAAAACAAGCCCCAAAACAAGATCAGCGCTCCAGCTGCATCGCTTTCTATACTAAAATGGCGCTCGCGCTTCGGCGCCGCAAGCACGGCCCCTACATCGACGACGCTCCCGTTCTATACTTTCCCACTTTTAACTCAAGAGTGGAGCCCTCGTTTCTGCATCGCCTCTGGAGGGCTTCCGGGCGGCCACAGGATGGTTCCGAAAAGGCCCCTGGAGAGGCACCAGAAAGGTCCCGCAGAGGCGCCAAGAAACTTCCAAGAAGAGCCCAAAAGGGCACCAACGGCCCAACGGAGGCCCAAGATATGAACTGCAGATGATCAAGTGCCTCGTAAGAGGTGTTGGCGAAACATCATCGGGCGGAAGATCTGGATGAAGGAATATCGGACGCCGGACGAATGACAGAATTATCCCATGAAGGGGGAGCTACCATAATGCATGCATGTTGCATATGGACTCAGGCACCAGAAACATTAGTGCTGTTGTTATTGTTGTTGTCGTTGTTGTTGGTGGTGCTGGTGTTGTTGTTGTTGCTGTTGCTGTTGCTGCTGTTGTTGTTGCTGTTTGTTGTCGTCGTCGTCCTCGCCTGCGATCCGCCCGCGACCCACCCGCGACACGCCCGCGACTCGCCCGCGAACTACCCGCGACCCACCCGCGACCCGCCCGCGACTCTCCCGCGGCCCATCTGCGACCCGCCCGAAATCCACCCACATTCCTTTGACGAAAATTTGGCGCGTGTGGCGGGGTTGTTGTGTAGTCGTTGGGTAATGTTGACAAGTCGGCGCCAGCGGCGGGCTTCCTCACAGCCTCGCAGACTGTCGACGGCCCCGCCGCCCCCTCACTCGTATCCGCAATTCCAGGGACCACCGCGGCTACGGCAAACCTTCGGAGGTCCACTCTGCAGCACGTTTCTCGGTTCGGCGCGGCACCCGACAGTGCACATGGGCGTGCATCTTGCATCTCGTGTCAAGTCAAAGGTTCGCTTTGATCTCCGAGGTGGCACCGAAACCAGGGCAGATCGGATTCATACCACCGCAGGGGGGGGTCAAGCGCCGACCACTGCAGTCTGGGCGGGCCGCCGAAAATTACATGTTTGCGCCGTGCTTCTCCTTCGGGATGAGTGGCTGGCCGCGTGGGCGATCGCTGCAGCTCTCAGGGCCTCCAGGTCCGCGGCGGCGGCACCCCGCCAGCCAGAGGCCCAGATGCTTAGCGGGCGAAGAACGGTCTAAACTAAACTTTCCCCGCCGCCGGGGGCGGCTGTCCCAGGGCGCCTCGGAAGTTCAGACCCCCACCTGCCACCAGCAGGGAATAGAAGCTTCTCAGCCGCCCTGGGACAGGCGCCCCCGATGGCGGAAACTTTGATCTTGATCTTGTACCATTCTCTGCCCCCTAAGGATGTGCCTGGAAAACACGCGCCCGACTGGCCCGCAGTCCACCACCCAGAGCTCGTCGCGGGGCTGCGACGGCTCCTGCAGCGGAGGGCGCTCTACGGTCCCCTCGTGCCAGCCGCCCCGGCAGCACACCTCCACGCGCTGCCCTCTGGACACACCCGAGGGCGACAGCGCCGCCGCCGGGGACCAAACGGGCAGGCCGTGGTGCCCCAGAGCCTCCAACTGCCGCGCAACGCCAGGGCCGTCGCACAGCATCATGCATGCCACCATGCACGAAAAAGTCCGGGACGCCGGGGTGGAGGCCTCCGGAGACAGTCTTGCTAACATGCCCAGCACCTCCTCGGCGTGGCTGGGCCCAGCCAGGATGCGCAGCAGCAGGGCCGCGACGGCCGCCGTGTCGTAGAAAGCCATGTCGGCCGCCGCGCTCGGCGATGCGCAGAGGGCAGCCATGGGCTGCACCACTTGCGCGGAAAGCTCCACTACTCCACCTATGCCGGCCCTGACTGCAAGAGCCGCGGCCCCGCGCCCGTCGAAGGCCACCTCGGCAAAGGCCGACCACAAATCGGGGCGGCTCGCCGCAGCCGGCGCCTCGCAGAGGCGGAGGGCCAAGAGCACAAGTACACGACAGGCCCACCCGACGACCTGGCAGCGGCAGGCGTGCTGTCGCATGGTGGTCATCACCAACGGTAAAGCTTCTACATAGAGAAACTCCTCCGTTTGGTCTGCTGCGGAAGGCATGCCGGCCCAGCGCCGCTGCGCGCACTCGCGCGCCGCCGTGCAGAGGCCAGCGCAAGAGCGCAATTGCTCTTTGGCGCCATCGGCACCTCCAGCGCTGTGAGGCTGACCGCCAAGGCCCGCGGCGTAGCAGCAGAGCTGGACGAGGTTCTCGACATGCTTCCCTGGCGTCTGGCCATCCTGGGCGAGTCCTCTGGTCACGCGCCTCGCGCTAGTCGACCTCAAGTGCTCCAGGAGATCGTCTGCCATGCCGCCCTCACGCGCGAAGGCGTCCACGTGCACCTCGCCGGTGCCCTCGGGGTCCCACCGCGCCCACCCCTGTGAGATCCAGTGCCGAGCCTCCTCGACCTGAGCGTGGTCCAGAGACGACACGCGCGCCAGCCGCAGCAGCGCGCGTAGGGCCCCGCCGCGGGACATCGCGCCACCTATGCGATCTGGGCCCCCGTGGGAGGCACCTGGCGCGCAGCCCGCCGCGAGCCGGAACCACTCCACGCGGTCCGCCGTCAGCTGGTGCTCAGTGGCACTGCTCAGCGGAACTGCCCTGAGCTCGTAGACGTGGGGCAGGAGCCAGCGGAGCAGCCCGCCTTCTGGGTCCAGGAAGTCGCCCTCCGAGACCCGGCCGTCGCCGTCCACGTCCCAGCGGGCCCAGAGGCCGTCGTCGAGGGCCCGGGACAAGAGCTGGGGATCGAGGGGCAGCGTCGCGCCCAATACTCGCTCGAGGTCGTGCCGCGAGATGTAGGCCTCCACGGCGCCGCCCGCTGCCGGCTGCGTTGCGGCGGCGGCTGGCGCGGCCTGCGTGCCGCGCGTGGCGGGGAGTGAGGAGGGCTGCGTGGCGGCGCGCGAGCGGGCGTGCTCGGGGCGCCAGCTCGGGGCGTTGCCGCCGCCGCTCGCGGAGCTCGAGCTCCGGGACAAGACCGAGGAGCCCGGCGACTGCGAGCGGTCCGACAGAAACGTCCCCTCGCTGCCGACGCCCCGCCGCGCGGCGAAGACGGCCCACGCCGCCGGGTCCGCGAGGCCTGCTGCGAAGAAGAACCAGGACGTGGGGTCCTCTGCCGGGTCTGGCAGGGCTCGCGCCTCGACGAAGTCTGCGCGGCAGAGGGGGCAACGTCCGCCCAGGCGGTCCACGCAGCTGCCGCACACAAAATGCGGGCACGCCAGCGGGGGCTCGTCTCCCTCGCTCTCTGGCTGTAAGCGCAACGACCGTGGGGCGTCGCAGAGGGGTCCGCAGCATGCAGGGCACTCGCTGGCGCGCTGGCCGTCGCCGGGCGTGGCCGGCTCGGTCCAGGAGTCGCGTCGCCACTCGGCGGGGAGCCTCATGAGTGTCGTGAGCATGAGGCCCTCGTGGCCACCGCGCGCTGCCAGCCTGAGGACGCGCACGGCGCACTCGGGCTCCCCGAGTTGCGGGGGCCTCTCGCTCTGGATCAGAGCGAGCGCCAGCCGGGGCATCTGTGCGTCCACTGCGGCCTCGAGCACCCGCTGGCCGCGGCCGCTGGTGGCAGCGCCGTCGGATGTCAGGCCCTCTGGTTGCCTCATTTCGCACACGAGCCTCGCCGCCAGCGTCTCGCTGCGCCTGACCAGGGCCGCGTCGAACACGCGGCTGAGGAGATCGTTGAACATCGCCTCCGACTCGCAGCAGCGCTTCATGCAGTCCGACAACAGCCACCTCAGCAGCTCATCCGGCTGTCGCTCGGCGGCCACCTCCATCACGCTCATCCACACCCGGTGAAGCGCATGGTCTGCAACGCAGGCGGCCCCCAGCGGCGCCGTGGGCAGCGCCGCAGGCGGTGCGGCACTCCACAACTCGGGGACGAGCAGCGCGAGCACCCGCGTGATCTGGGCCTCGCTGACCTGAGCGGCTCCGGCCTGCGGCAGCGGCAACGCGGCGGCCTGCAGCCAGCTGTCCACGGCGTCACATCCCGCCGCCGGGCCGCCAACGCAGCGGGGTCCCATGCCGCCGCCACAGAGCGCCCACGTGGCGGCCGACGCGCCGTGGTCGCCCAGGCGGTCCGCGCGCGCGCCGTGCCCAAGCAGCAGGAGGACGTGCTCCTCGGATCCGCGCAGGGCCGCCAGCATCAGCGGCGTGGCGCCAGCGAGACCTGGAGCGGCGGCATCGGGGAGCAGGCCACAGCCGAGCAGCGCGGCGAGCGCCTCCACGCTGCCGCTCAGCGCTGCGTAGTGCGCAGCCGTGGCGCCGCGGGCGTCGCTGGCGAGCCATGCTGACGCGCTGAGCGCCAGCAGGTCGCGCAGCAGCTTTGTGCCGGCCGGGTCGCGAGCGGCCCACATCAGCAGCGTGCGCCCAGCACTGTCCGGGAAAGCAGCCACTGCCAGGGCAGCATCGGTGCCGCTATCTTGGAGAATCGCGCGCGCCTCATCCCACCTGCCGGCCTTCACATACCTGCGCACCAAATCGCTGGCCACGTACTGCAACAGATGGTCGGAGCACTGCCACCCCGCGTGGAAGCACACCTCGCCCTGCCGCTGGCCAGATGCTGGGTCGACCAGCGGCGCCACCACGCGGCCGTGACTAGGAACGGGCAACTGCTCCGCGCACGCCAGGACCCGGCACATCGGCCCCACGCGGCGCCGCACCTGGATCGTGCACGACAAGGCTCCTCGGCGGTCTGTCAGCACAGGGTCGTCGAACGCCAGCTCCTCGTGGAACACCCACCGTGATCCGCCCTCAGGCGACAGGGAGCCTCGCGAGGCCGAGGCGGTCGTTCGCGCTGTCCGCCTGGACAGCAGCAGGCCCTCGCGGCGGACGACGGCGGTGCAGCAGAGCTCCTCCTCGCGGGCCAGGGCGGAGCGCTCCCCAGGCGGGCACCGCACCTCGGAGACGACCACCGCGACGCCCGCGACGCCGATGGAGCGGAGAGGCCTCTCCCTGGCCGGGAGCTCGACGTGCAGCAGCCCCCTGGCCGCGACCTCGCCGCGCGCCGCCAGGACGGCCTCCGCGCGCGGGGCGGCCAGGCCGCCCGGGTGCGCCGCGAGCAGCGCCGCCAGGAGGCCGCCCGCGCACGCCGCGAGGCCCTCGCGCGTCAGGCCCGGCTCGGCGGCCCGCCTCTTGACGTACCAACAACACACACCCATACCCATAGGGGGGTCGGAGAGGGCTATGGGTGCGTGTTGTCGGATAGGGGGTCCCCGTTCGAACGGGAGCGTTCCCCAGGGTCCGACCTCCCAACGACCCCCCTATGGGTATGGGTGTGTGTTGTTCGTTCGTCACCTCTGGCGCTCGAACGCCCGCGACACGTCCTGGGCGCCGGGCGGCTCCAGGCACCACGCCGCGCACACCGCCGCCACGAGCGCGCGGAGCTCGGCGAGGGTCAGGTAGCCGCCCCCGCTGCGAGCGAAGAGGCCGAAGTACTCCTCGCAGGCCTCCGCGAGCTGCGCCTTGTCCACCACCGCCAGGCAGTGGGCGTCGGCGGCGGCGCCCACGCTGTCGGCGTCGACGGCATCGGGATCCAGCTCCTTGGCCTCGCAGCTCGCGCGGCTGCCCATGGCTGGCCCTGCCCGCGATGTGGGTAGCAAGGCTGAGCCAAACGGATGCGGCAGCCCCGTGTGTTCGCCGCTCGGTCAACGGTGCCCATGCAGCTCTGCGCGGGGCGGATCCCTCCAGCCCTCCTGTACCTGGTTTGGTGCGCCAGCTTTTCCAACACAACCTCTCCTTCCCCTGCCCATGCCCCATCTGTGGGGTCTGGACGGGGATGCAGCGAAGGGTTCGAGCGTCCAAGATGGCCCAACTACATGGCGACAAGGTGGCCAGGATGTGCCCTGATTGCCCCCCAAGCTGGTGCAAGATAACCCCTGTTGGCCAAAATATGGCATCCAGCACGCCACAAAAATACCCCACAAACGCCCTTAGATATCTCTCACATTACAGCCGAGCCTCCCAAAACTACTCCCGAGAGTGCCCGAAGAGGTCCCCGAGAGGCGCCCAGAAGGCCCCAAGAACCCCCCCAAGAGGCACCCACAGGGCTCCCAAGAGTCTTCCAAGAGGCCCCAAGAAGCTCCCCCGAGGCACCCGAAACTCTCCAAGAGGCCCTGGGACCGCCAAGAGGCCCCCAAGACGCCCCGTGGGGACTTCAAGAAGCTCTCAATAGGCATTCAAAAAAACTCCGAGAGGCATCCGATAGGCCTCTGACCCGTCTACTCGCCCTCTTTCTCCTCCTCCTCCTCCTTCTCCTCCTCCTCCTCCTCCTGAACCTCCTCCTCCTCCTCCACCTCCCCGTCTTCCTCATCCGCCTAGTCATCCTCTTTCCTCCTCCCTACTTCCCCTCACCCTCTCACCCTCGCCCTCACCCTCATCTTGCTCCTCGTCCTTCCTTCCTCCCGCGCTAGGGGTATGAGGGCTCCCCCAGCCAGCCATTATACTGCATGCTGCTCCACATCCCTGATCAGGGCAACTCGCCCGGGCCTCGTTTCTGCATGGGCTTGTGGGATGACGCGAGGCGTCTGGAATAGTTGGAGCTGATACAGGGAGCAATGCTCCGACGCGGTTCCAAACTACGGCTCCCTTCCTCTGATCGAGGAAATCTGCAGACACGTGCGACATCAGAACGGCTGCAGTTGCTTTACTTTTTTGGTTCGCGGCTCCAAGGCGGATGACAGGGAGCAAACACAGCGTCCGGGGCGCGTGACGTTGTAAATTGGCCACCGAGGCGGATGCACGTGCAAGGGACAGAATAACCCTGCAGTTGCTTTACGCGCACACCCCACTTACGTGTGGGCGTCTCCGAGCTTCGACCTGTGACCCCGAGACATCGGCACGCAAATATCCGCCGACCCTGAGACGGCGACGGCATTTCCTCCTCGCCCCGAATGGCCGAACCGACTGCAACTGGATGGATAACTCCAAGTTCAACAGCGTCTGCTTGCCTCAGCAAGCTGGGTCTCAGAAGGCCACGAGCCATACGACAGCATTGCTGAAGCCGATCATTCGACCCCAGGCATCGCCTTGCAATCAGACGCCCGTCAGGCCGAAGCAGTGGCGAAAGTGGCTTGCGCCTCGGTGGCATTACCCGCCTCTGCCCAAGCAAGGTAGCTGCCGCCCCAGGTCGCGAGAGGTCACCGTCGGGGAAGCCGACCTGGGGCGCGTTCACTCAAGGCAGCACCGAAGCAGGTGGACAAGTCCCGGTCGGCGCGCTGCAACATGCCCAGAGGATCCAAGCAAACGCCCGCCGAGCGCACTTCAGCGTGCCCATGCGCCGAGCTAGCTGACCTGAGCGCGTCCGTCCGCCGAGGCCGAGACTCGAAGACACGGTGACAGCGTGCAAACCAAGCGGGCTTGCGTCGAATCCACGCTGGATTTCTGTGGCTGTTGCTGGCCGCCGTGTCGCGTATGAGAGGTCTCAACGCCAGAGACATGGGTGTAAGAGCCCTGGCCTCAATCCGGATCAAAACGGAAGAACTAATGCGCAATCGCGCTTGCAGTGGCGTTTGCCGGTGTCGGTGCTTTTGTGTGTGCCTGTGTGTGTGCGTGTTTGGTCATGGTCTGCGCTCCTTCCACTCCCTGCTGAACTCTTACTCCGCTGCCGAAGTCGCAGAATGCACGAGCGCATGTGCAATACTCGATCGGGTAACCTTTGCCAACAGGCTCTCCGCAACCGAAGCACTGTCAGATCTATCGGACACGTCGCTCTGGAAGAAACCGTCGACCGCGCTGCCACTCTCGGCCTTGCTGAAGGCGCTGGAGAGCCACGCTAACCCCGCGCGTCCGAGAGAGGCCGCGACGGTGCACACCAACTTCAGCAAGGCGAGCCAGAACCGGCCGATGAGCAAAAGCCACACGAGGCTATATGCCACGATGGCGAGCAATAGCAGCAAGCCAGTTCTATCCCAGGCAAGCGCTGGGATGGCACCGACGATGGCAACACAGTGCATCGGTCGCTGAAAAAGCAACGGATTATATAACAACCAATCTCCCGTGCTCCCCCCATGGACATGTCGACTGGCACAGAAGTCATCCCGAGGGCAAAAAGCATAGGCTGCAAGATGGTGGCGACGACCTCACAGGCTGCACACAATGGATTATCTGCCTGTTTCACAAGGCAAAATTCGACGACCCCAAACCAAAATGCCATCTGCAGCCAGCCTGGAGTGCCTATCTTCCACGTCAATACAAAGCGTAACTCGGGATTGCAGTATCATGTGCAAGAACCATCTGTGGCCTAAACTAACCCACGGCGTGCAAGACATGAGCTGCCGACCGACACCAGCAAGGGGTCCGTACCAATCCTCGCACCATGCCCAGTCACCAAAAAACTCACGCAGATCATGTGAGGACAAAGAGAAGCCATCGCCAAGCAGACAATAAGAAGGACCGCGCCCCTCGCGGTGCAGCGGACTATGGGCAGCGCCGCTGCGCTTCACTGCGTGACTCTGAGCGCGTGTCCTTGGCATGCCAGCGCCAGGACGGAGCCTTGGAGCTGCCCGCTGTGGCCCAGCGAGCGCAGAGCAGCTCAGCCCAGCTCAGGACCGTGGCCGGTGCAACGTGCAGTGGAGGCCGTCCACAAGAAAACGTCCACAAGAAACCCAGCCCTGAGACCCCAGGGCGTCCCTTGATAGTTGGTGTGAGATCGTCGCGCTCTCCATCGCAAAACCATCGAAGCCCAAGAAACCCGGGGCACCCTGGAGGCGAGCAGGGTGTTTCTTGGCATGGGCCTCCACTGTAGGCGTCGCTGTAGATTTGCCGCCACCCTGGGGGTCCTCGGCGTGTGATGTGGTTGCCCCTCCCCAAAGGGCTATTCCTCGGGAGACCAGATCGGCCAATTTGTAGGGGATGCTGCGTCAAGCCGTGCTTGGCATTGCACTGTCTAACATTGCTCAGGGTTTGCTTGACTTGCCTTAAAAGTGAAGGCCCCTACTTGGGGTCGCGCCGACATTATTGCTTTTGGGGCGCTTCCAGGCTGAAGCTTACGCGTCGTGACATCTTCACTCTCCCATTGCGTTCCTCACTGGGTCTCAGGCGGGCGGGCGGGCGGGTGGGCGGGCATGCGGGAGAGAGGGCCTTGCCTGGCGTTATGTGGCAGTACTTGGCGTTGCTTGTCTGGCTGGGCATTGCGTTGCACTGCTTGGTATTGCTTCGCATCGCTTCGCATTGCGTGGCGTTGCTTAGTATTGCTTGGCATTGGCTGGCGTTGCTCGGCCCTGCTCGGAATCAGGTATTCGCACTGCGTTGCTTTACTTGGCATTGCTCGCCATTGCCTGCCGTTGCTTGCGAGTGCTTCTCGTTGCTTGGCATTGCTGGGCATTGCTTGGCATTGCTTGGAATGGCTTGGCAATGTCTGGTGTTGCCTGGCATTGCTTGGCATGGGTTGGCATTGTGTTGCACTGACTGGCATTGGCGTTCCACATCGTGGCATTGCTTAGCGTTGCTTGGAACGCCAAGCATTGCCAGAGAAAGAGGTCCCTCAGAGGCCCCCGAGAGGCCCCCAAGAGGCCCCAGGAGGCCCCCAATAGGCCCAAAGAGGCACCGAGAGGCCCGTCAGAGGCCCCCAATATGCTCCCAGGAAGCCTCCAGGAACAAGACGGCCTCAAGAGGCCTCCTGTTCCTCCTCCTCCTCCTCCTCCTCCTCCTCCTCCTCCTCCTCCTCCTCCGCCGCCTCCTCCTCGTCCTCCTCCTTCCATTTCTCCTCCTCCTCCTCCTTTTCTTTCTCCTCCCTCTCATCCTCCTTGTGTTTTTTTCTCTCTCTCTCTCTCTCTCTCTCTCTCCCAGGTGTTTCCCCCAGGGGCTCCACAGCAGCTGGAGGAATACATGGTCAAATAGCTTGGCCAGACTTTGGTCGCGTTTCCAAAGGCAGGGGGCGGCGCTGGTTCACCGTAGGCGCATTGGGAACTTATCAGGCGGAACCCATACCTCGCCGGGACCCTGTTCTGCCGAGGTCAAGATGCTTTGCACCAGCGGCAACAAGGCACCGCAACGCAGCGCGGAAGCTATAATTCGTCTGGCGGGGGCGCTAACAAGTTCACACTCCCTGCTGCGGCGATCTGTCGTTTGAGCCAAACCCTGCATTCTGGGAACTCCGAAAGGGTGGTCCCTCCCTGCGGGAAGCGCGAATGATCACCTCTATGGTCTGCCGATGAGACTACCCTTATTCGCGGGGTGTCCTCCTGGCAACATTACTAGAACCATAACACTCGCTTCACGCGCCGTCAAATTCTACCCTTCTTGGCGTCTAGCGTCAAGCGGGGTAGATGCGCCGTGCCCCGATGAAAGGGACCTGTTGGTTTGGAAGCAAGCCCGTTCGTCGCCAAACGCGCGCATGGGTGCTCGGGTCAGGGCGCGGGGTGCACTTTACGACCCCGCCCCCCGCTGCTTTACCCCCCCCCGCCCCCAAGCGAGCCCCCAGACGGCCCTGGACGGCCGTCTCAGAGCTGTCTTAGGGGCGGGAAGGACCTTGCGAAGTCACTGGGGCCAGTGGGGATATGTTGCGGGCCTCTGAGAGCCTCTTGGGAACTCGTATGGGAAGGAGCGCTCTTGGGGCCGTATTGGGGCCCTCTGGGGCCCCTCTTGGGGCTATCTTGGGCCGTTTTGGGGCTGTCTTGAGGCCTCAGGAGCCCATCGGAGGCGAAAACGCGAGAAGGCAAGAAACAGTGAGTTCCCCTAGGTTTTTGAAGGATTTTGACCTCTTGGGGGGGTCCTTGGAGTCCGGGCCTGTTGGGGGTCGTCGCCTTCGGCGCCTCCTAGGCTGTCTTGGGGGGCTTCTTCGGCCGACCTGGAGGAGCGGTCTTGGGCCGTCTTGGGGTCCTCTGGAACCCTCTGGATCTGTCCTGGGCGGTCGAAAAACGGAAAAGGTGAGATCGCTGAAATCAAGCACTTCTTGTGAACAAGCTTTGTTCACGAAAAAGCAAAGGTTGTGCCCCTTGGGGCCTCCTTTGGGGTCCTCTATGGCCCTTCTTGGAACGTCGTGGGAGCTTCCCAGGCCATCCTCAAGCAATCCTGGGCTGTCCTGTAGCCCTCTTGGGACACCTTGAAGGGCACTGGGAGATTCAACGAGCTCCATGGAGAGCCCTGAGCAGCTCCTGGGGAGGCCCCAGGGGCTAACGTAGTCCAGGTGCCCCTGGTGGTCTTCGGATGGGGCCATTGCTGAAATGCTGGCGTCAAAGGCGCAACTGGCTTGATGGTGTTGCGGCCCAGAGCCACGACAAGGCTTGAGTGTGTCACGGTATTCATTCAACCTACAAGATGCGCAATCAGCATCCATACCTCCTCCTCCTCCTCCTCCTCCTCCTCCTCGTCCTCCTCCTCCTCCTCCTCCTCCTCCTCCTCCTCCTCCTCCTCCTCCTCCTCCTCCTCCTCCTCCCCCTCCCCCTCCTCCGCCTCCTCCTGTTCCTCCTCCTCCTCCTCCTCCTCCGCCTCCTGCTCCTCAAAATGGGTACAAGCCGTAGCGGCTCATGCCATCATCTGGTTGCTGCAAACGGTGCTCAGCGTCTGCCCTGCCACATTTGCAGCATTGGCCCCAACTCGAATGCGCACGAGGGCATGATTCGCCACCGTGCCCTCTGGCACGCTGAGGCGTGGTTATAATGACAGGTCGGGCCGGTCCCCCTACAGGCGAATTTCGGACGAAAATTCAGACATACCAAAAACAGGTTCAAACACTACACAACCAATAGGATAAAAACAAACGCCCCCTTATGCTATGATTTGAATATGTTTGGTAGATTCCTCCTGTAGAGGGAGAGGCCCGGCTCAAGCCAAGTGCCCCCTCTCGCCACGCTCCCGCGCATGCATCGCCCGCCCTTCCCGAGGCTCCCTGTGCGCCTCGACGCCTCCATCAGGCTCGCCCAGGCCCGACGCGGCTTACAGTCGGGGCGTTGACCTAAGGAACCCTAAAAATAAGGAACGAGGCCCCTTATGTTCCATGAGTTGAACTTCGATCTCCGATCGAGAGCATCGGAAAACCTGAGGCAAGCTGCGAAACACTTAAGGAACGCGGAGCCCCTCCCCAACGAAAAGGGGTCCTTCTTCAGGGCCCCGACTGCATCGCCCGCCCTTCCCGAGGCTCCCTGTGCGCTCCGACGCCTCCATCGGGCTCTCCCAGGCCCGACGCGGCTTACAGTGAAGGGGCCCCAGGACACACCAATAGATACACACAGATAAAAATATGCCCCCTATTTTCCCATACTTTCTGTTTTTTTGTCTTCCCCCCCACTTCCCATAGTTTCCCATATTTTCCTGGGAGTCGACGATTAATTGTGTCTGTGTGCTTTTTCCTCTCCTGATACAAGACGGCCCAGGCAGGCCACCCAGGCCGCCAAGAGGGCCCAGCTTCTCCCAGCTCGTCGCCTCCGGCTGCTCGCACTTTCGGCCAGCGCGGAGGCCGCGCTGCGACAGCAGCCATTGAGCTTCCATTAACGGGCGAAGAACGATATAACATAAACTTTCCAGCCGCCCTGGGGCAGGTGTCCCCGACGGCGGAAAGTTTATTCTATATCGTTTTTCGTTCGCTGATTCCAATGTCTGGTCCCCACTTCATTGCTGTGTTTGTCCAGTTCGCCCGCTTGCCGTGTTCTTGTCCCCGTCTCGGCCGCCCCGCCTTTTCTTCCACCGCTCCCCCCCCCCCCTCCCCCGACTGAGGGGAGCCAACACAAGGTGAGGTCATTGGATCAGGAGTCATTGGATCAGGAATCCAGGGTCTGGAAGCTGGTGGACCGCCGAGTGAGGCTTGGCCATGGATATCACTGCCGCCCCTATCGGATAAGGAATCATCCAGGGTCTGAGGCCTCCTGGGCACATTCCTTAACGAAGGCCCCCACCGTATGGAAAAGGGGCGCAGGCAGAACCAAAAGGGGGAGGGAGAGGGGGAGAGGACGCGGCACAAACAAACAAGTACGCGCTCATCCATTCCTGCCCCCTCCACATTCCAGGCCCCCCCGTGTGGAATCGCAATCTCTTTCGGCGGGGGAGGAAAAACGAGGACGACGAGGTGGCGGAGGAGGGCGGAGGAGGAGGAGGGAAGCGAGGCTACGAAAGGTGACAGCTGTTTCTGGAGCGTGCACACAGACAGGCTGCATGCTCTGGACCAGAGACCAAACTACTGCACGGGCCGACGGCAAGAATGGCCCCAGCATTTCACTAAACCGCCAGCCCAGCTCGCCGGGGACACAGCAATGCGTATGCGTGTTCGCCATTTCTTCCCCGAGTGCCTCCACAACCTCCTCAGATCGTTTCAAAAGAGGCGCTCTGGCCAGCAGAACTGTCTCTGATCACTATGGCCGTGCCTGCCCATGCCCTGAGTTGCTTCTCCTTTGCCCCCCCCTCCCCCTCCTCTCCCCTCCTCTCCTCTCCTTCCTCTCCCCCCGCCTCCGGCTGCTGCTCCTCCTCATTGCCAACACTTCTGAGGGAAACGAATGAACCTACAAACCAGCCTTTCCTTGCTGTGGGTCCCTTCAGGCTGGGTCTCACGGACACTCCAACACACAGAAGAGGAGACAGAACAATACAAACAGGGTGCGAGGATGATGAGGAAGAAGACAAACGTATTACAAATGCATGACGTGCTGGGGCCGAGGCGGACCAGCATGACGCCGCCTGATGGCGTTAGCAATTCACGGCCCGGTCGCGCGGCACGCCTACGCAGGCGGGGCAAGAGACAAAGTTGGACAGGAATCATCAAGAGACCTGCGGGGGAGGAGGGTCGAGGGAGGCGGGGACAGCGAGGGAACAGACCAGCACAAAGCGCGGCGGGCCGTCATCTGACATGTTGCCGTCATGTGGGCGCGGACGAAAATTAAACGAGCGCAGTGAACGATACTACTGCAGCTACTCCGAGTCCCAGTAACCTGATGATAATGCGGACATGTGTGTGCATTCCTGTGTAGATGCCGATGCTCTCGGTGCAATACTGTTGGTAGAGAGGCTGAGTGCTACTTATGTGGGTACTTGTGGACACACTACTGGAAATGTCCGGTCGATGCTGCCACCAACGGCAAGATACAATTGGGATTGTACTGTTGTGCGGAGAAGCACTATAGAAGCACTGCGCTGTTGTCGTACGAGTAGCAAGATTAGCAATCGTTAACCGTAGCACCACCAAAGTAAGTACGAGTACTGTTACGACTACAGCTACGCATGCCACGCCTCATGACTACTAGTTCCACTCCTATGGGTCCCACGAAAGGCCAAGCAGCTTCCGACACAGAAGGAACACTAATGCTGTTTACCTTCTCGGCGCTTCGCTTCCGATGGGCCCAAGATGTCTCCGAGAATGCGCACAAGAGGGCTCCATAAGGGCCCCATGAAGTCCACAGGAGGCCCCCAAAGTGCTCCAAGAGACCTCTTCATCTTCCTCCTCTTCATCCTCATTCTTCTCGTCATTCTCCTCTTCATCCCTATCGTTATCCACCCTTTTTTTCTCTCTCTCTCTCTCTCTCTCTATCTCTCTCTCTCTCTCCCTCTTTTTTGTTTCTCTCTCAAATCCTCCCCCGAGTGGTCCCCTAACGTGTCCCACAACGGCTATGGGAGCACGTAGTCCTATAGTTTGGCCAGACATTGGCCCAACGAGTGGCCACGCAGGCGTCTCTAGAAGCCAGGGGGCGATAATGATCGCCCTGCAGCGCTGGCCACATTTCAGTATCGGTGTTACCCTGGGATGCGATTAAGAACCCCCTGGGTGATCGTTCGCACCGACACAAAAATTGATAACCCGCGGGGGGCGGATTCAGTGGAGCGATCTCTTCAGCACCGCACCAAGTCGCAACACATAAATGATCCCGGGCTCCAAGCCCACGGGACCCCCCTCCCAAATGGGATGGGTCTCAGGGTTCCTCGGGTCCCCCCATCCGATGAGATGGGGGGCGGACGACGACGACGACGACGACGACGACGACGACGACGACGACGACGACGACCACGACCACGACCACGACCACGACCACGGCGACGACGACGATCACGACCACGACGACCTCAGATTTCTGCCGGAGGTCGACAGCCCTGGCTCCCTGAAACACCGCAACAGCACGCCACACCCAGAGGGAGGCGAAGATGGCGAAGACACCGTCGACAACGATGCTGCTCCTCCTCCCTCCGTCCCCCTCCTCTTCCCTTCCTCCTCCCTCCTGGGCCCTCTCTTCCCCTCTTTGCTCCCCTCTCTAATTGCCTCTCCCCATGTATATGCTACTCCTCCGAGGGAAATGCAGAGGAGGAGGACGACGGCGACGACGACGACGACGACGACGGCGGCGGCGGCGGCGGCGAAGGCGGAGGCGGGGGCGGCGGCGGCGACGCTTGGCTGCTGAGGCGGGCCTCCTACCCACCGCAAACCTACAAGAGGGACACCACACCACACCCACAGGAGGGGGGACACCACGCCACGCCCACGGGGGAGGGGGGGGAGCACCGCCAGGGGCTCGGAGGGGGGGGGGCGATGGCATCAGCATGGGGGGGGGGGGCAGACCCTGGACCATGAATGAGTGTTGCCTCTTTTTTTTTTTCTTTTTTCCTTCCTTCGAGTATAACAATTGCCTCCTCACCACGTCTCTGCGTCCGAATCGTTCCTCGCCGCCGCAACCCCCCCCTGTTCCCTGGCCGCACTGCTCCTCCTTCTCCTCCTCCTCCCGATCTTCCTCCTCCTCCTCCTCCTTCTCCTCCTCATCCTCCTTCTCCTCCTCCTCATCCTCCTTGTCCTCCTCCTCCTCCTCATCCACCTCCTCCTCCTCCTCCTCCGCCTCCTCCTCCTCCTCCTTCTCCTTCTCCTCCCTCCCCTTCCTGATCATCCGACGCTCGGCTGCAGCATCCTCGCAGGGTGGCTGTCATGGCGAATAGTGCTCCTCCTTCGGACAGGCGCACTGCTTACTTGACTTCGCATACCAATTGCAGATGTGACCCTGTCTTCGACTGCGCCACGCGCCTTGTTGCTCGCCCGTTCTTGCTCACCTGGCTTTGGGCCGCGAGAGTCCGCACTGGCCGCCTGCCTCGGGCGTGGCTTGCGCTGGCCCAGCGCTTCCCCGAGCGCGCTGCGCGGGCGAATGCTCGGGGGCCGATCGCGGCGGTGCGGCTTCGTGTCCACAGGACTGGCTGGACCATGGAGCCCTCCACCACTTCCGAGATGGAGGGAGGTCGGCGCACACGGCTGCTGCGTGTTCCCACTCCCGATCTGGGCCATCTCCTCTTCGCTGGCAGTCGGCGCTGGCAGGCTCGTCGGCTTCCGCCACAGGCACACCTCGCTTGCGGCGCTGAGGCAGTGTGGGCTCGCGCACCTCGCCTCTGGACTCTCGGGGTCACCGTGCCAGCTGAGCCTGGGAGCATTGCAGGCGCCCTTGGCTGTGCAATATGATACGCGCGAGCGCCACGCCGCACTTGCCTCATCATCGCCGTGCTTGCGAGGCGCCTCTTGGCACGTGGTACGATTGTGGCGCTGTGTTGCGTGAGCCCCCCGAGAACGGAATTCACCCAATCCTAAAGGCGCGTGCTGATGCGAGGCAGCGCTGCATCATGATTTGGTCTGGGCTCTGCTCCAGGCTGAAAGGGGCTGCCGGCGGTGTTGGGTGGGAGAGAGTTTAACGCAATGGGAGAGGGTGAGTGGGAAGAGCAGTGCGAGAGCACCTAACTTGCCACTACCTCTACTGTCTCTACGCTTCGTTGGTCTACCCTGGGAAGCAAGGAGCCTGACCGCCCAAAAGAACCAACGGAAACTCTCACCACGACCCTGAACCACGGAACCCGGCCGCCCACCGAAATCGGCGCACACTTCTGCCAAATGCTTGAGTGCCAGAAACATCAGACCTGGAACTGGAAAACCACGAACGCGGGGACCTGGCCGCCCACAGGAATCGGCCACCCAATTTCACCAAATCCCTGCAATTTCCGCGAGAACCCCTTCAGTGCAAGCGGAGACTGAGGAACATCTTACAGGAGATCAAAAACAGAATCCGTGGATTCTCAGAATTTCCCGCAGGCACTTCACGCCTGCCGTCTCGCTGCCTCTCTCTCTCTCTCTCTTGCTCTCGCGATCTCGTTCTCGCTATAGTTATCTCTCTCTCATGTTATCTCCCCATCTCTCTAACTCGATATCTCTCTCACTCCATATGTATATTGTATAAACACACATATGTATAGACATGTCTCTCTCTCTCTCTCTCCGTCCTTCTCGATCGTTTTCTATATCGCTCTCCCTCTCTCTTCCACTACGACACTTCACATGCAATGTGTACGATGCTCTTCTCTCTATAAACTATACATAGACCGTGTATATGTAGATACACACACACATATACGCGTGTATGTATATGTATAGGTATGTGTAGCGTTATATCTCTGTCTATCTCCCATTATCTCTCTCCTGACGTATCTCCCTCTATAGATGTATGGATATTGTACATGAATGTGTGTATATGTATATGTATGCATACCACCCTCTCTCCAACCATATCTGTGTCTCTCTCTCCCTCGCCGTCTCTCAACATCTTAACTAATCTCTGCTCTATACTCTCTGATTGCAAGCTCCCGCGAGTACTATACCCGCCACCGTACCCCCTGGCACGGTGAGACGCGGAAGCATGCGAAGGGCTGCCTGGTACGGTTTTCGGATTCCAATATAAAGGGGGCCGACCCTCCCTCTGCTCGCAGGCAGCCGCACGCAACCCCCGCCCCCCTTTTTCCTTGAGGCCGCTTCCCTCGCACCAGATCGAACATAGGGACACTTCCAGCAAGGCAACTGATGCCTGAACCCCCATTACACCCGTGCCCGCTCGAGATGTGTGCAAGTCCCGCATGGTAACTGGTGCCTGAACCCTCATTCCACGCGCGCCCTCTTGAGGATTGAGCACTTCCCACATGGCGGCTAACTCCCAGACCTGTCATCCCACGCGCACCCGCCCGAGGACCGTGCAACTCTCGCATGCCCATGCCGTCAAGACGGCCCAAGATGTCTGCAAGAGGCCTGACCGTGCCACAAGAAGGCCCCAAACAGGGTCCGACGAAGCCAAGCTAACTGATGTTGTTTGGGGTGTTTGATGAGTGTCGCATGTTCGCCTTTTCGGGGTGACGTCAGCTTAAGACGGCCCAGTAAGTCTCCACGATGGCCCCCAACACAGCCCAAGGGGTCCCAAAGATGGCACGAGAGGACTCCACGACGTCACAATGG